CTGATCGACACATAATAATTAGAAGTAATCTCGCGTTCTTAGGAGGTAAATTATACCACTCAGAATTGTATGCTGTGTTAGCTATATCTGTACTCTGAAAGATTACAGACTTTAATCTACGTTTAAATCTAATATTCAGACTATTCAAATTCTTATCAGAAAATCAGCGACTAGCTAATTTTTCCTTCATAAACAATACCTCGAACATAAGTCTTTCGCCCACGTAACAGTAGAGGAGCAAATGCAGCATCACGCCAACTGTATAGATACACAAGAATACAATTTGAAAAACCATGTGTTGCTCTAGTTCTTCTTCAAATGACTATAAATAAAATTACGTCGAAAGATATGAATTATTTTAAGATGTTTCGAATTGTTGTATAAACGTGGATTTAGAGAAAAATATAATTTTCTTCGTACCGTGATAGCTTGGAAAGTTTGGAAGCATAGTTGAATGATGCAACTGAGTATTTGAATTAGGAACATCACGTTGAAACAGTTTTCTACAGTCTCCGAAAATCTTGACGATTAACAAATGAGAGGAATAATTCACTTGTAAATCTCTACCAATTAAGAATCAAATTGATTAATTAAGTCTAAATATGTTGGAATGTATCGATGAATGCTATGAGTTGTGTGAGCGTGATCATCTGTCGTAAAAAAGTGAGCCCTGACTTCGCGGTTGGTTTGATTGCCCTTTACCAAGCAGTTGATCTCGAGGCGTCGTTCTGAACGTACCTATGTATGCATTTCCTATCCATTATATTATCGCGTATTCTTATTCAATAAATACTTATATAAATCCTGGCAAAATACATAATTAACAAATTTTAAATAATAATAAGCAAGTAATAATGGCTTCATAATAATAATTTTAAATAATGATTAGATTACTAAATTTCAAATAAAAAGTAATGAGTTTCAGATGTGGGAAAACATAATGATATCACTAATTCTGTGATGAAAATACGTATATCATTTTCATGTCATTTAATATAATTTGGAAAGGATACACGGACATGCAGGTTATACTATTAAATTAAATATTTGGAGGATAATACAAGACATAAAACATTTTAGTCTATATATAAAATATTGTCAGTATTATAGATATAATAATTTCCTTCTAATATGAATCAAAATATTAATATTATCACCAATAATCTAGTCGTAGTATTAATAGTATCATGATATTATCATTAATGTTAATAATTTGCGTTTAATACGAACCTATTGACATACTCATGCTTTTCAACAATCTTTTTCAGCCTCATATGTAAATTATTTTTATCGTACGAATGAATCTTCATTAAGTCTTCCTTTAGATTTGAAAGCTGTCCACAAACATGTAGAATGAGCATAGTGATAAAGGTATCCACAGTTGAATAGAAGATAGTTGAATATGTCATAGCTATTCCTTGAC